GGAGATTGGCTACCCCTGTGCCTGTCCTTTTAAAGAAAGCAGATCTGGACAATGTACCTTGTAGTCCAAAAGCTCAAACATGTTATGGTGCCCAATAGAAGCCCCCGAACCCCTCTACCAAGCTCTTCTCCCTTTTGAGAGGGAAGACTGGATGGACTTTTCTGCTTTCCAAACCCTAACTGATATGTACATGTTAAATAATTTGGAATAATGTGGTGCAGTGGGAGGAAGACGAAGAAGAGGAGGAGGAGGAGGAGGAAGAGAAGGAAATTGGATTTATACCCTGCCCTTCACTACCTGAAGGAGTCTTACAGAGGCTTATGATCTCATTTCCCTTCCCCTCCTCACAACAGATACCCTGTGAGGTAGGTGGGGCTGAGAGAGCTCTCTTGAGAACTGCCCTTGAGAGAACAGCTCTGAAAGAACTTATGACTGACCCAGGATCACACCAGCAGCTGCATGTGAAGGAGTAGGGAATCAAACCCGGTTCTCCCAGATTAGAGTCTGCGCTCTTAAACACTACACCAAACTGGCTCTCCAGTTAGAATGTTGAACACACTTTGAATACACATGAAACTGCCTTATACTGGCATGATATTTCTGTATCGGCTGTTAAATGCTGCATGAGAATTACTTTGGTTTGGACAATTCTGGGGAACAAATGTTAAACATGCAGCAGTCAGCAGGCACTGGAGAGATGACTTTTTAATATTCTTCAGTGTCATAGTTCTGGTAAATTTCTCATAATGTTGAACTGAGTCTATAATGGTACCTGACTTGGGTCCCAGATATCTGGGAGAAAGGCAGGCTGATAAATTATAAACAAACAAAACAAATAACTATAGGGCAGGGAAGATTCCCACTCCCCAACCTAGGCTACTTTTCCAGTTGCTTCTGCTTAAGAAAAGGTAAGCAATGAGCCCCATTTATTTCTTCTTTTCCCAGGGCCCACTGGGGTCTTGCCTGGGACCGTTTCCCAAATTGTCCTGGTTTCCATATCACCCTGGACCATCTTCCCTTGTTACTGGCCAGATGTTACTGGCCAGATAAGGTTCTTCCCTCTGCCACTGGAACAAAATTGCTGCACCCTTGCAAAAGGACATCCTAAGCAACAAGTGCCCAGGCTTGGCTCCCAAGCCACACTTCCACTTGCGCCGCGCCCTTCTCACATGGCCACGGCTGTCCTCTGTGGCCGAATGCGTTCCTCAGCACTAGGAGCTTCCCTCTGTGCACAACCAGTGTCTTTCACTGTGCCAAAAAGCACCTAGTGCCAGAGACGATTGACTTTTAACTGGCCGTGCAGGGCCTTATCTGTCCATGGTATACTTACCTGGCTCTGGCATAGTCCACTCCTCACATTTGAAAAGGTCACTGGGTTCTGAGACTTTCCCAACTCCAACCACATTCATTGCATAACCGCGGAACTCATAGAAATGCCCTTCGTCCAGGTTGGTGACCTAAAGAACAAAAAGAGAGAGGTGGCATTTCCAGATATAGGTCTAGGGCTGCGATCGTATGCACAATTAAACCCGACACAGGTGCGAATGCCGGGTGGATTTAAAGGGCACAATCGGACAACAACATCTGGGAAGTGCCCCGCGGCCATCAGCAACCCGTTCTGCTCTACCGCAGAAATGGAGTTAAAAGACACAGGGGGAAATCCGGTCGTAAATGGGTTGCGACGGGCCACGGACGGACTTTCCTGTGTCTGATCGCTCCAGCGCGCTGTCATGGCATCGGGATGGTCTGATCAGGCCATCCTGACTCTGTGCTGTTGTCCCCCCCCTTCGCAGTATGCGCATCATTGCAGACTCCATAGGGAGCCCTCGGTGCGGAGGTGCAATTCATCGATCCCTCTGTTAAGGGTATGGGGAAAAACAGCAAAAACACAAAAAACAACTCACCCACAGTTAAGAACATAAGAACATAAGAGACGCCAATGTTGGATCAGGCCGAAGGCCCCTCCAGTCCAACACTCTGTGTCACACAGTGGCCAGAAATACCAGGTGCCATCAGGAGGTCCACCAGTGGGGCCAGGACATTAGAAGCCCTCCCACTGTTGCATCTCATCACACACTGACAGACTGTGCCTGCAGCTTCAAAGGGAGGTGTGATCATGCAACTGCGGGTCAAATTCCTTTGGAGGAAATAGCCTCGCTTCCCTCCTGTTTTTTTCTGGGTCATGTGACCGCAACCTAGCAGAGGAATCCAGAGTTGGAGTTACAGCCTTTTAACACCACTGATTTCAATCCTAAGTACAGCTACACCCTTCCAAGCCCATTGAAGGCTCTCACTCTGCTTAGGGTTGACCTAAGTGGAGGCACCTCATTCTCAGAGGCATGTTCTGCTCTGCAAGCTGCAATGTGGTGAAAGGTGCGAATAGCCACCAAGGGATAACAATTATTGCTGCAAAGGATTTGCGTCCTTTTGAAATGAATGCAAGAAAAGAGTGCTACAAGGAACAAGTGACACATTTCCCCCAGAGCAACCTTGGAAACCAGACCATTATTTTTAAATCATTAAAAAAAAAAATCTATTTCCTTTAAGAGTGAAATTGACTACACCAGAAGCCACTTGTTAGCTGGGCTCGTCTATTTTACCACTCTGCTGACTTCTAAAGAACTTGAAGTAAAGCTGCTGCAGTTTGGAAATAGGAAAACGGAGTCAACGGGTCCCCTATGAGGATATCTCACAGGCCATTGCTATGCTTAGTAATTATGCTACCAGTGCTGGATCGGGGTAGCATTGTGGTAGTGGGGAGGAGGAAGTGATTTCTTGCTTGATAACCACAGAATGACAAAAGCCAAAGCTACAAGTGAGGAAATGAGCTGGCTGCTTCCTGTCTCTATCTCCTGGAAGCCAAAATGCAAACAGAAGAGGACTTGAGTCCAGTAGCACCTCCGTGAACAATAAGATTTTGGGGGTAGAAGCTTTCAAGAGTCAAAGCTCCCTTCATCAGATGCAACAAAATAGTGACCTGTAATGCAGCGATGTGCAGGGGACATTTCCTGCGGGAGCGCACAGGAGTGGAGCTCCGGCAGTAAGGAGCTCAGGGGGCGGGCACCCTGCAGAGGCCCCCCCCTGGCCCTCCTTCAGATACAAGCTCTCCCTCCTCTGTGAGGGCAGATCTGCACGTTCCCCCCCCCCCCTAGCTAGCAATCCAAAACAGTCCAGTGGAGCCTGAGCGGTGGGTGTTGCCTTCTGACACACTTCCGGTGATGTCAGGGGGTGTGGCATATGCTAATAAGTTATGCTAATAAATTATGCTAATGAGTTCCTGCACCTCTTTTTCTACGAAATGACCCCTGGCGATGTGTAAATGCAGACAGAGGCTATAGTGCTGTGTAACGCAGACAGGGGCTGCATCCACATAGCAATGATTTTCTGTGTTCCTTCAGTTACCACTGTGAATGCAGAGGCATTTGCAGTGGCAATAGAGTGTCCACATGGAAGTTTTCCCAGAATTCTGATTGCCCCAGTTCCACATAGCTAGTAATACCCCTTACTACCACTGGAGGGATTTTCGGGCCTTAAAAAAACTGATAACTGACACCTCAGTATTGCATTGTTGTTCAGTTGCACAGTCGAGTCCGACTCTTCGCGACCCCATGGACCACATCATGCCAGGCCCTCCTGACTTCCGTCGTGCTCCGGAGTTTGCTTAATTTCATGTTCGTTGCCTCGATTACACTGTCTAATCATCTCATCCTTTGCTGTCCCCTTCTTCTTTGGCCTTCAGTCTTTCCCAGCATCAGGATCTTCTCCAGTGAGCGCTCCCTTCTCATTTGGTGGCGAAAGTATTTGAGCTTCATCTTCAGTATCTGGCCTTCCAGGGAACAGTCAGGGTTGATTTCTTTTAGGATTGCCTGATTTGATCTTCTTGCAGTCCAGGGGACTCTCAAGAGTCTTCTCCAGCACCATAATTCAAAAAAAAGAATCTATTCTTCAGCGCTTGGCCTTTCTTATAGTCCAACTCTTGCAGCCATACAGTACTACTGGGAATACCATTGCTTTGACCATACTTTTGTTGGCAGGGTGATGTCTCTACTTTTTATTATGCTGTCAAGGTTTGCCATCGCTTTCCTCTCAAGGAGCAGGCGTCTTTTAATTTCATGGCTGCAATCACCATCTGCAGTGATCTTGGATCCCAGGAACGTGAAGTCTGTCACTGCTTCCACGACTTCTCCTTCTGTTTGCCAAGGAATGATGGAGGTCGGATGCCATAATCTTAGTTTTTTGGATGTTGAGTTTCAAGCCAACCTTTGCACTGTCCTCTTTTACCCTGAGCAAGAGGCTCTTTAGGTCCTCTTCACTTTCTGCCATTAGAGTGGTGCAGCAGGAGACAGGATTTAGGGAGGCAAAGAGAAACATCCATACAACGAGTGAGAAAGGAAACTGCTTTATTGACGTCAGATCCAGCTGCACAGAGCGCTCAAAAAGGCTGGGCCCCGGACACAGAAAGAACAATGGTTTTATACAGTTCAGTTACGTACACACCTCCTTATCTTGGTCAGCCCAGGGTGTTTCGTTACTTCTGCTGAGCTGCCTGCACACTGGGATTTTGCACCTTGTCCCTAACTGCTCTCGTTCACCCCCTGCTGCTTTGCTGGGGGAACACTCTTTAACCGGAGAGGCACAGAGAATCAGGGACAGCGTCTTCTCCTCCCTGCTTCACTCCCCCCTTTCAGTCTCGCGCAAGTCCTGGAGCCTGCGTGTCAGACTGACTTGGCTTCATATACTTGTTCCTTCGGTGCAATAACAACATACCATCAGCGTCCCCTCGTGGTTGAGAACGAATCAAGGTTTTACAATAACAAGTACAGATGGGCGGACACTGCATCCCACAAAGTACAACAAAAAATACAACCACCAGGAGTAAACCTATTTGCACAACAGTATGGAGCCATCCTCCCGTCCTCCTTGCTGTTCTCTGGAAATCTGCATTCAGTTGGGTAAATCTTTCCTTTTCGGCTTTGCCTTTCGCTTTCCTTCTTTCCTCTGCTATTTGTAAAGCCTCATCAGACAGCCACTTTGCTTTCCTGCATTTCTTTTTCTTTGGGATGGTGGTGATTGCTGCCTCCTGTACAATGTCACGAACCTCTGTCCATAGTTCTTTAGGCACTCTATCTATCAAATCCAGACCCTTAAACCTATTCTTCACCTCCACTGTATGTTTATCAGGGATCTGATCTAGGTCAAATCTGAATGGCCTAGTGGTTTTCCCAACTTTCTTCAGTTGAAGTCTGAATTTTGCAACGAGTAGCTCATGATCTGAGCCACAGTCAGTTCCAGGTCTTGTTTTTACTGACTGTATAGAGCTTCTCCATCTTTG